CTAGAACCTATCAAATCAAGGAGGAGTTTTGACTGTTCCCGGATGCTGCGCAGTGTGTGTGTGGGTGTGTGCGAGGCCGGAGGCGCGCTGCTGCAGGGCCGTGGTGCCTGTGGTTGGAGCAGCTCCGCGATCCTGGGCAGGCTGTTGCCAGGCCACGGTAAGGAGTTGCTCGAGGGTACGTCTCCGATCGATGGGCTGTGCTGGTGTCGCTCGGGTCCCTTCGCCCTGGTGGGTGGCGTCTGGGCCCTTCGTTCCCGTTCCCTGGTGGGGCGGGGCGTGAGCCTGGTGGCAGGACATGCTGCGCTGGGGGGGGGCCTGGCGTGCGCCGGCGCTAGCCAGCCCTGCGGGTTGGGGCGGCGGAGCTGGCTCACTAAGGGGGCGCAGGCTGCGACCCCTCGCCTACCCTGCACAGGTCCTCTCCCAGGCAGTTGACGTCAGGGGTGTTGTTGCCCGCTGGAGCGTGGCTGGGTGCATCTGGGGGAACGGTGAGGTCCGTTCCGCCTCGCGGGTGGTCCAGCCCCAGTTTACCATGCCTGCGTCGCGGTTCGGCGCCTGAGGTGGGGTCCTAGAGGGCCTCCGCCTCCTGCGGTTCGCTGCCAGGGGCTGTCCTTTGGCTTGGCCGCCCCGCGCGCCCACCCGCGGCCTCGCCGCCTGAGTGCGCCCTCCTCTCTTTCCTCCTGTCTCTGCGGCCGCCCTTCGGCTTTTCTCCTCCTCTTGCATGTGGGCCAATTCGCAATGTCGTAGCCCGGGTTGCCTGGACGCGCGCGCGGACTGCCTCTGCCGCGCTGCGACGTAAAAACTGTCGGGCCACCAGCTGGCAGGGTTTGCGCGCGGTCGCGCTTCTTCGGCTTTGGTTTTTGAGGCTGGTGTCTCGCCGCTCCTGCTGCGCACGCCGAGACGTGCTTCGCGCTGCGTGATGACTTCCAGTTCCATGGCGCGGCCTGGGACAATGAGGGCGTAGAGGGCACACTGGGAATTCGATGAGCGTCCCCTGGGGCGGATGGCGGCAGGCAGCGTGCTGCTGCCAAAGTTGCGCACTTTCGCGCGCGGGGGGGCTTGGATGTCGGCACCTGTGGTGCACGCGCTTGCCACCAAAGACTTTGCGGAACGTGCCCTCGCGGCGACACCTTCAGGGGGCCGGCCGAAGCGGGGGAGCCTGGCCACCGCTCGTCGCACGCGGGCGTCGGCAGTGGCTACAAGGTTGAGGTCGGTGCCCGCCGCTGTTGGTGCAACGTTGGTGTAGCTCCCCGGGCGGGGGGCGGGAGAGGGGAGAGGAGGGGAGGGAGAGGGAGAAGGGAGAGGGAGAGGGGGAGGGGAGAGGGGAGAGGGGAGAGAGGCAAGGCGGGGAGAGGAGGGGAGGGGAGAGGGGAGAGGGAGAGGAGAGGGAATGATGATGATGATGATGATGATGATGATGATGATGATGATGATGATGATGATGATGATGATGATGATGATGATGATGATGATGATGATGATGATGATGCAGATGGCTGATTGCGGGTCCCGCTCCAGCAAGAGGGGGGGAGGGAAGGAGAGGCGGGGAGGGAGGGAGCACGGATGGGGGGGGGGAGCGGGGATGGGGAAGAGAGGTGGGAGCGATGATGGGAAAGCAAGGATACCCCGCGGGCCCGTGCCAACTCTAACGCCGAGCTGTCAGAACCTGGAATACACGTTACTGCACGCACACATCAAGAGTCCCACCAGCCATCTGGGCGCGGGTGGTCTAAAGCGATTCCTTTTCCAGCCTCCTTCCTTTCCCTGCTGGGGAGGTTTACCTCCCCCCCTCCCTGGGTCTGGACGGGGCGTCCAAGATGGCTCAAAATAGCTTCAAGGGGGCTTTAGCTAGCCCGAGATGGCCTCCAAGATCGCCCAAGATACCTCAAGACGGCTCAAGGCAACCTCCAACACGCATCCAAGAGGCTTCAAGACGGCCCCAAGACAGTTTGAAGTGCCCTCCGAGCCCTCCAAGGACCCAGTTCAAAATGGGTTCAAACCCAAGGAAAATCAATGTTTGGTTTGCCTTTTCGAGTCTTCGCTTCCAATGGGCTCCTGAGGCGTCAAGAATGCCACAAGATGGCCCAACATAGCCCCAAGAGAAGCCCAAAAGGGCCCCTAAGAGCGCCCAAGAGCGCCGCAAGAGCGGACCAAGAGGGCTCCAAGACGCGCCTTCTGGGCCTCCGAGGGGGGTGGCGTAAATTCAAGACCCCCTTTTTTGAGCGAAGGGGCACAGGACGGCCCCGAGAGGCGCCCCAGAACCTCCGAAAGAGCCCCAAGATGGCCCCAAGACCCCTCAAACAACACCCAAGAAGGTCCGAAGAAGGCCCCCAGAGGATCCCAAGAGGACCCCAAGATGGTGCCCAAATGGCATTACGAGTCTTCGAAGACCCCTTCATCACAACACATGCCCAAAACCCGACTTCTCGTCCTCCTTGTTGTCGTCCGTTTCTTCTTTGCTTCTGTCTTGCCTTTCCCCTGCTCCTCTTCATCCTCCTCGCGCCGCGTTCCTCCTGCTCTGCCTCCTCCTTCCCTTCCTCTTTTTTTGTTATTTTGTTGTGTTTGGTGTTGTTGTTGGTTATGTTTGCTTGCTTTCTTTTTCTGGTTATGTTCCTCCCGCCTTCTCCTACGACTCCTCCTCTTACCCAAAACGTGGCCCCAAGCATCACCAGCACCAGCAGCACCACTTGCTCCAAAATGGCTCCAAGATGGTAACAAACCACCACAAGCAGCAACACCAGCAACGTCACCACCATCGCCACCATCTCCACCATCAACAGCAGCCGCATGCGAGTTTAAGATAAAGTTCGGTGCGGGGATGGAGGGCAAGGATGCATGCGGGGATGCGACTCTCAACTGTGCGACAAGGGCGACGAGTGATAGATACAGTCAGTTGCGCCAGAGACGCCTACCACAGGGAAAGCCCCCGCGTATCTTCCACTGGTTTCCATCTTAATCTTCGTTGCGGAAAGCTATGTGTGATCCCTGTTTCTCATGGCCCAAGGTGGATACAGCCACCAGCGCTAGAGACTTGTACCACGGGGAGCACCACGTCGTATTTTGCACCGGTTTCCATCTTAAGCTTCCATGCGGGAGGCTATTTGTGATCCTTGCTTGTCTGTGAACGGCCGCGCAACTGCATGCTTCCAGCCGTCCATGATTTGCCAACTCCCCTGCTGATCGTTTCTGGGTGGGTTGGTAGGTATAGTTTTCAATCCGCGGGCGCGCGAATCGGGTCGAAGGCCGAGCCTGCTACGGCGGGCCGCTCCGGTAGCGAAGCGAAAAACGGTGAAGGCGACGGCGTGCTTGGCCGCGAAGCCGACCAGGCGGTCATCAGCAAAAAAAGCGTGCCGAAGACCTTGAAAGCGAGCGTGGCGAAGCACAGGAAGCGCCCCGAGAGCCGAGACGAAGGCGCAGTGATGGCTTTACCGCGAACGGATACCACTGTACCAACGTAGGAAACGCAGCCACAATGGCGCGAAGGCCCAAGTGGCCGAGGAAAAAGCAACGCAGCTGGCCCGTGAAATAGTAGACCGGCAACACGGCGGAGCAGGTAGAACCAGACGGACGTGTGGCGGCACTGTAACCCAGTAGCCAGGACCGAGCCTCCCGTGCAACCTTGCCGTAAGGGTAGAACTTCAGGTGGGCGCCAACCGACACCAAACGCCCCGCGAGTGCGATCCAGAAGCCGCTGGACTGCACCAGGCCTATGCAAGCGAAGGCGACCACAGGTGAGAGCCAAGCGCGAAGCGTCACGAAGCGTGAAGAATTAGCAGCTGGGCAACTCCAAGAGCGGGCGTCACGGTCTGCCCGGCAGGTGGGCCGACAAGAGGGATGATGAGCAGGAGGGCGAGACCTGGTGAGCAAGGGCAGCCCTGAGGCATGCGGCAGTGCTTTCGCCGTGTGGAGCACGTGTGGCGGGTTGGCACGCAGGGGCGTGGGGAGGCGCGAGCGAGCGCAAAGGAAGGCACGCTGCCGCGTGAAGGCGGCGGCTCTCGCATGTGCTCCCCCATTCCCATCCTCTTCCCACTGATGATGATGCTGATGATGCTGCTGCTGCTGATGATAATGATCATGATGAGGAGGAGGAGGAGGAGGAGGAGGAGGAGGAGGAGGTGGAGCTGAAGGAGGATGGAAAGGGGGCCGAGGATGAGCAAGGGAAATGCAAGGAAGCAACCTAACTGGGAGAACACCAGGAGGGGAGACGGAGGAGAAGGAGGAGGAAGAGGAGAAGGAGTAGGACGAGTACGAGGATTACTCATACTATCACGAGGAACAAGACGAGGAGGAAATCATGTGGGGGAGGAATAATTGGAGGGCGAGGAACAGGAGGAGGCGGAGGATGAGGCGGGCGAGGATGAGGAGGGGGAGGAGGAGGAGGAGGAGGAAGAGGAGGAGGAGGAGGAGGGGGAGGAGGAGGAGCCCAGCGTAGAAGGGGATGAGGATGGGGGAGGAGGAGGAGGAGGAGGAGGAGGAGGAGGAGGAGGAGGAGGAGGGAGGAGGGACGGAGGAGGCAGGAGGAGGAGGAGGAGGACGGAGGAGGAGGGAGGAGGGGAGGCAGGAGGGAGGAGGAGGAGGAGGAGGAAGAGAGCGAAGGGAGGAGGGGATGAGGGAGGAGGGAGGAAGGAGGAGGGAGGGGGAGGAGGGGCGAGGGAGGGGAAGAGGGGGGAGGAGGAAGGAGGAACGAGGAGGGAAGGAGGGAAGGAGGGAGGAGGCAGAAGGCAGAAGGCAGGAGGGGGGAGGGAAGAGGGCGGAGGGAGGAAGGGGGGAGGGAGGAAGGAGAAAGGAGGAAGGAGGAGGGAGAAGGGATGAGGGATGAGGGATGAGGGAGGATGCAGGAGGGAGGAGGGGGGAGGGAGGGAGGGAGGGAGGGAGGGAGGAGGAGGAGAAGGATGAGGGAACAAGGGAACAAGCCATGAGGCGCCAGCTAGTCTCCCGCAGGCGCCTCGATATGACAGGCGGCCCCGTCGCCGCACCCGAGGCGCGTCGGCGCCTAAACCTCCAGCGCCATCCACACGTTGTAATAATAGACGTATGCGGCGGGGGAAGGGCGACGCGACCGCGACGGGGGGGACGGGGGCCAAACAAAACCACTCAACAGGGCGGGCCCCTTCGAGCTTTGAGCCAGTCTTCGGGCGCAACCCATCCCGAATAAAGCAAGAGACCTCCTCGCACTGACAGGGAGGGCCCCCGAACTCGGGGGCTGGCAAATAGCTCTGAGCTTGGGCCCAAGCCCTTGGGCACAGTATGAGCCACAGGCCGTGCATAATATGTGCGGCCCTACCTTCTCCATCGCATGGCCGAGTGCTGTCAAGCACTCAAACTGACACACCGCCCCCCCTTCCCGAGGTCTAGGCGCTGAGGCCAGTCCAACCTCAGGCTCAGCCGACCCACCAGCGGGCCCCGCACCAGTGCCCCCAGTCCCCAGGAACAGAGAAGACCCCGAAATCGCGGTCTGGACAGCCTCAGGCCTGGCCAGGGGGACGGCGGCAGCGTACAGCCCATCGCTGGAAACGCCAGGCGAGCACGCTCACGCTCGAGAGGGGAGGGGTTACACTCACGCCCAGACCCTTGGGTGAGCCACCTTTTGGAAGCCTCCGTCTTGGCTCTGGCCAGACAGGATCGACAAACCATGAATTCGCCAGATGTCCAGAAATCGTGCCCCTGGAACGTAAGGAGGGGAAAGGCGAAGTGGCGAGCGCCGCAACATCCGCTTCGCGAAGGGCCTGCATCTGCCCCCCCCCCCCCCCCACACACACACACACACACGCACGCGCACGCACACACGCACGCGCGCGCACGCGCACGCACGCGCGCGCACACACGCGCACGCGCACACACACGCGCACACACCACCTCCTTATGCGCGGCGCGCCGGGCAGCGGCCCAGCCAAAAAACTTAGCATTGTTCCGACCATTCGCCAATTGGTCAGCCCAATACTCGACAAACGAGTCAGCAACCTTGTGAGACCTGGCTCCGACCTTGGCGAAGAAGTCCGCCCACATGTTACCAAACCACCAGGACACAGGCCACTGATCACGCTCAAGGAACTCATCCAACGTGAGATGGGCGGGCACCCAAGCAAATGAAGGCATCTTGGGGTTAGAACGGCCCTGAGCAGCACTAAATAGTTTCCCCCATATGCCAGCGTGGGCCGCCGACGCAGAGGCATGCTCCTCAGACCATTCGACCCCCTCACGCACCGCCCCCCAGGAGATCCGAGACAGAAAGCACTAAACGCGGCAGCAACTGAAGCCCCCGCAAGAGCGCACATCGTTCAGATCGGCCGACCGTTTGGACGGGTCCTGGCAGAGGGCCATACGCCGCCCTAGCAGGGAGACCAAAGTCTCCCATCTGCACCAGAGACCACCCACGGCGTCGAAATTCAGGCCAAGAGCTGTGCATGCCTGACCCGTCAAAAAACGCAGTGGGACCCCAGCTCTCAGGCTTCGACCCCCCGGCCCCCCCCCAGAAGAAGTTGGGGGGCTCGGAGGGCGGAGAGGGGAGCTCAGGGGGAGCCGGGGGGAGCCCAGTGCAAAATCTGAGCAGCCGAAAACTATCCTGCCCCAAGGCATTGACTCCTTCCTCAGAAAGCCGACCGCGTGTTTTTTTCCAACTCCTCGGACCAGGCTGGCAGGCCGGCAGCATCATTCTGTTCGAGCAAATTCGGGTACGCATGCCATAGATGGCAAAGATCTCCAACGGCCCCTCGCTGTCGGCAGTCGGGATGCGGGCAACGCGGCGTGCTCAACCATCCGCGTTAGTGCCGCTCCTGCACAGACATGTCTCCACCAGCCCACAAGCGCCGTAGGGCAGCAGCGACCTGGGCATTTTGAGTAGTAGCCGCCTTCCCTCCCACGGCAAGGTTGACGGCCCGCATCCACACAGTCTCATTACCTTCGAGATGCTCGACATGGTGCTCAAGGATCCTCCGTCCTTGCCAACGCTGCACTCCAAGCCGTAGGAGCTCGCGAACATCCTTGGGAGGCATTCTCAACAGCGAAATGACCGTGCCCGCGTCACTGACGATGGAGGTGCGACTGGCCATGCCCCACCCCACACGTCGAAGATATAGCCACGTGGCCGCGATGGGACCTCGAACTCCCTGCCGGCCTGGATCACGTCCTGACCAAAGAGCTTGCAACACACGCCAGGACCGCTCGAGCCTGCCCATGTCCAAGCGCACCTCGATCACGAAGCAGGCATACATGTACACCATGTTCAGCGTCGCTTCGAAGATGGGATCCATGTACTTATCCCTCTGCGTAGCCAAATAGGCCGTGACGCTGACGCCCTTAGCATGAACTCCAGTAATCACCCCAGCCGTCTGCCGCAACTGCTTCAAGTCACAACCAGGCACTCCCAGGACCGAGCTGCCACGCGCAGCACCAGCAAGCACACCAGACCGCCAAATGGCCCCCACTTTGGAGCCAGCAGCAGCTTGGAGTACTTTGACGCGACCCATCCTCTTCTGCAGGTTACGCAATCGACCCTTGGCCACCGTGCGGATCACCTTGCCTCCGACCATGTCATGCCCAAGATTGCGCATCTGCCTCCGTCGCGTGAGCCTCAACATCTTAGACCGTGGAAGAAATCTCTTGACCACCTCGCGAGTCGTGCCCACGTAACCTGACTTCACAGGTTGACCATGTCAGCCCAGACTTCGCATGCCACTCTTAAAGATCCGGGTGGCCTTGATCAGCTCGGTCATCCCGCCCAGGTCCTGGCCAACCCATGGCAAGGTACACAGCCCTCGGCATCCGATATGAGGTGACCAGCTGCCACAGAAAACGCAAAGGGAATCCAACTTCACGCGCTTCACGAAAGAGACTGGATACCTCCACCGCGTCGAAACACTTCCACATGTCCATCATAACCGTAACCGAGTGCTCCCCAAGAAGCTTAGACATTTCCGCCATGGCACTGTGGAGAAACGCAGACCCCGAAGAAGAATCACCTTGCCTGTTTCCCCAAATCATCTCCGAGGGGAAAACTCTTCAGCCACAGTCGTGATAGGGGGCGCCGAACTCTGGCCCACACTCGCACAATAGTGTGGATCAGCGCCACCAGACGTGTACCTCCACCATCCTTTGGAATGCGTGCCATCTCAGAATGGATGCGTCCAACTGGCCATGGAAGTAAGTACTCGCACGTCATGAAGAACGAAGCCATCGCGTCCAAACCTTCCCTTGACAAGAAGCACAGCGATCTCGGCTGGATCTTCGACGGTCCTGCTGCCACCTCCCACGTGAACGTCAAAATGGCCTCTACCATCATGTCCGTGGTGATATGCGGTAACAGTTCCCATTCACCACTAGCGCACGGCAAAGATATGTCACTGTCGTCGTGAACTGACCACACCTTCATCCACTTGCTCATCTCACGATCAGCTAACACGTGAGGGGGCTGCTCAGATTCAGCATCGATGATCTCCTGAGTCGCCTGCAAGTGAGTGAAGCGATGCGCTCCACTTGCCCCCCTCTCAAAGGCAGAGTCGGCGAACCTTTTCCAACGATAGCGATCGACCTTCTGACGCGCGGCAAGCAATATATCGCGTTCCTTCTCGATGTGGGCATTGACCTGGTCAAACTCAGTACATGCAAGCATCGAAAACACAGGAGTCGACATTAAGAAGTCCGACACCCATGCAAGAAGCAACCTGGGCGTGCTTTCACACGAGCACTTTAGCCAGCGCAGAATAATCAGCAAGACCGTTCACGATCCTGTTCCCATCCTGCCAGACTAGGAGCTTGCCAGCCAGCTTCGCGACATGCTCCTTGACCCTCCGACACTGAACCATCCAGCGAAGAGCCGCCAAGCAGGCGCGTAGCCCAGGTCCATGTTGCAACCGTACCAGTGGAGGTCGCCATCTGGACTGCACCACCTGGGTAGCCAGAGGGCCCCCGCGTCCTGACGTCGATGCAGCCTTTGACCCATCAACACAGTCATAGACGCCCTGCAACTCAAATTCAATGCCAGCCAATAACGCATCCCAAGCAAGGCCCAGGTCATCATCGGTCTGGGCGTAAAACACCTGTCTCTCCACGTCCCTCCATTCAGAAGGAAACCTCTCACATCCAATAGGCGGCACCTTGGGAAAAGGAACGGGACCCACGACCCGACGAACCCAAGCAGGCCGATCCTCCGCAAATTTAGGAAGCACCACAGGCACATGCACCTCCGTGTTGTCGTCAACCACGTGAGGCCTGCTAATACGAGTGCCCAAGTTGGCGCACACTATGGCGTAGTCATACACACTTCCAGGCTGCACAAGCAGGCAAGTGGGTCTCGATGGCGCCGCAACAAAGCCCCGAACGCCCTCCAACCAACCAGAATATATCATATCTGGAGTGATATTCCAATCACCCATCACAATCCAGTCACGTCCCAAGGCATTCAACACCGAAAGATACCGAGCCGTCTTGACGAGGAGTGCCTCGCTGGTCGCACTCATGCCTTCTCCTGAAGTGAGGTAAACAGCAACGATCACGACTCCACCTGGCACTATCCAAGAGACGTCAGCAGCAGCAGTGCGACCTGGCTCAATTACATGATCAGGAAGCGCAGGCGGGGCCTTGACCACGATACGAGTGGGAGCCATGATCGCGACCCCACCTGACCTGCCGTCCGCCCCCGTCTGCACCGCACCTCCAAAGAAGCCGTGATACCCAAGGTCACGAACATGCGCCTGCAGAGCGGGTAAGGGCTGCGATAACGTGCGATGCTCCTGCACCACGCAAATATTGGACTTGCACGTCTCCATAAATATCTTGAACGGCCCAGGGCCCTCAACATTGACGGTAGTGATGTCTGAGGAGAAGGAGGAGGAAGAAGAGGAGGAGGAGGAGGAGGAGGAGGACGGGGGTTGGAAGGAAAACTACATGCACACAGGGTGAGGAAGACTGGCGAGGAGAAGGTGAGAAAGGCGGAGGGGGAGGGGGACAACAACGAGCAGCCCCCCTGGCGGGTGTGCCACCGCTCGCGGTGACGTCGAAGAAGCGCCTGCGGGCTCCCGCCCCTCCGCGCGCGCCCCTTGTCTGGACGGGGGAGGGGAGAGGCGAGAGGAGGCGGAGGAGGAGTGAGGGAGAATGGAAAAGGGATGGGGGAGGAGGAGGAATGAATTGCAATGGAATAGAATGGACTAGACTGCCCATGAAAGGAAGCGCACGGCACTAAACAATCTCAGCTCTGCACTGACATGAGAATCAGAGATGGGGAGATGAAATAGAACAAAGGGTTTCGGAACACCCGCAAAACCATCCCGTGGATTCATCATATCGAATGTTCTCCTGCACTCGAGTTCGCTCGACCAGCGCACTCGTTCGCTGCTTATAAGAGGGGACGGCCCTTGAAGCCAAACAGCTCGTCCTCGCAACCGTAGGGACTGAGGTCCCTCGGGGCTCAGGTGGGTCACGGCGCAGCCGAGCAGGAAGAACAACCCTATCCAACAAGGCCTGCACACGCCGGTAAGGCCACTTGCTCTGGCGCGCCATACCGAGGACCTCTTTGCCCTTACGAGTGGGGGGCTCACAGCGGCGGCCGAGCTTCCCGAAACGAGATTGACACCACTCTCCACACTTAAGACAAACAACGGTCTGCTCTCGAACGTTGCACATAGGAGGGTCGCCGCCAATCTCTCGAGCCAGACCGGCCACGGAGACGAAGGAGTGACCGAGAGGGATCGGGAGCAGCCTACCCAGGAAACCGGGAACCCCTTTGCAGCCGTCGAGGGGCGCCAAGTCTGGCGACCCTTCCGCAACCACCAAGCACCTGACGCACTGGAGGCCTGACTCGCCTTGCTTCCATGAGTGCGAGCTGCGGGTTGGATGGGGCTGGGGCGAGGAAGAGATGTCCGCTGCCTGCCGTCCCGTGCGGCGCCCTCGCGGGCAGCGCGCGAGTCCACCCATCCTCGTCGTCCTCCTCCCCCTTCTCATCCTCCCCCTCCCTCCTGCTTCCGCCTCCTCCATTCTGGTCTTCCTCCTCCACTTTCTCCTCCTTCCCTCCTCCTCCTCTTCCTCCTCCTCCTCCTCGTCCTCGTCCACGTCCTCGTCGTCCTCCTCCCCCTCCTCCTTCTCCTCCTCCTCCTCCTACCCCTCGTCCTCCTCATCCTCCGCGTCCTCGCCCCCCTCTTGTTCCTCCCCCTCATGGCTTCCTCCTCGTCCCGTTCCTCGTGATATACTGTCTCATCCTCGTATTCGTCCTCGTCCTCGTCTTCGTCCTCCTCATCCGCCTCATTCTCCTCCTCCCTCTCCTTTCCCTCTCCTCCTCCTCCTCCTCCTCCTCTTCCTCATCCTCGTCCTCCTCCTTCATCTCCTCCTCCTCCTCCTTCTCCTCCTCTTCATCCTCCTCCTCCTCCGTAACCTTGTTGGCTCAAAGTGCTTTCCTCAAGTGGAACGCGTGGATACCGCTAGTCCGCGGCAAGAAGTCTGTTCAGCCTGGCATGGTTCTTTCAAGGAGCCGCGCATCACCCGTCTGCCAGCGCAGGCGGGCCTATCGCTCCCTACGTCACATTCCAGAGATGGCGCCGCGTTCTCTCTCCTGGTCGCGATGAAGGGATGCAGCAACTGGGCCTACGATGGCAAGATCAGGCATAATGACGGCTACTGCGTCAAGGGCGTCTCGGATATCTCAACATGGGTTGAAGCAAGGCGCAGCAAGGCAGCAGCCCACCTTGGGCCACCAAGTCCAAGGGCACGTGCTCGGAGGTGGAGGCAACTCGCAGTCGCGCTCGCCAAGTTCGGTCCCGACTCGGCCATGGAGGCAGCTGCGGAACACCATCGCACAGAAGTCAGCCCCGAAGACCAAGGAATTACCTGAGGCGGCAGTTCTCACGCAGGCCACCGGTAAGATCAGCACGGCGAACACAAACTGGAGAGCCCCTCCAGGAAGCGCGCGGGCGCGGGGAAGGTGGCGCAGAAGTTGCGCGACCAGATGGAGCAGGCGCCGCAGAAGTTCATTGATCAAAGGAAGAGCATGCGAGGTTCCTGGAGGGGTACTACTCACTGGCGCAATCGGAAGGCACGGCGGGCAAGAAACTGCACGCGGGGGGGGCGGTGTACGACGCCTCCCTCTTCGAGGACACTGATGACCTCGGGCAGGAGCAGAAGGACCAGCTCAGGCAGCTCAGAGAGGATGCCGCGTCTCTCCAGGCACTCCTACAGCGGGCTAAAGCCAAGTGGGGGGAAATGCTGGCCATGGTCGGGGGGGCTGAGCGGCTCAAAGCGGAGCGTGCGCAGAAAAAAAAGGACGGTCGACGGAGTCGAAGGGCCACGCGCCCAAGCCCAACCCGCGGGTTCCCCGCCTGCGCAGGCGGAGGCAGGCGGCGGCATCAAAGCTGGGCCCGACCCGCGGAACGAGGAAAGTCGAGAGCATCGGCAAGCTTCTCTCGGGCAGCAAGTCCAAGGTAAGGGCGGGGCGGCTTCAATGGGTGAAGCATGTGCTGAGGCGCCCCCTGGTGGCGCTACTCCTGGCGCTGGCAGCCGCGACGGTGCGCAGCGGCTTTGGCCAGGAGGCGGTGAGCAGCGCGACCTTTTTCTTCAGGAACATCACGGGGTAGCGGGTCACGCCGCACACGTGCCCCAACGAAAAATCATTACGTGGCCGATGTGTTCGCGTCTGCCAGGTTGCACGTCGCTGCCAGTGGAGCCACTAAGCCCAAGACGGATGCACATATGGTTGGAAAGCAGCGGTTGCGGCAGCCACGGCGACTCGCCGATCGCAGGAATGTGCCGTCGGTGGTGCAATGACTGTGGCGAGCTCACTCTTGGCGTCGACTGCGCGTGACGAGGTACGCGAGAACATGCTGAAACAAAACTGTCGCGACCCGTTCCGGGGGTTCTCGGCTCCGAACCTCCACCTGAAAAGGGGGGCAAACTTATTTTGCCCTCATTGTATAAGTTGCCCAGGGCGGGTATGCACGGCAGCAACTTCGACAATCTCAAAACCCTGTCTGCGGTCATAGGCAGCATCGCAGGCCCATGGGTCATCCTGGTTGGTTGGGGCCAGACGCCAGCGGCTGTGGACAAGTCAGGTCTACCAGCGAGATTGAGAGGCTGGACCATCAAGCTGAATGTGGAAGTTACTTATGGCACGGGCAAGGGCAATCTCCTTGATGTCGCGATGGCGCGCGAGTGTGCAGCGAGAGGTATCTACCTATACGACCACCCTTCGGGTGATAAGGAGGTTCGGGGGGTGGAGGGACCACCGTCTCACCCGATCGGTCTCACTATCGATCTCACTATCGATATCACTATCGGTCTCGCTCGATCGATCTCACCCGGTCGGTCTTACAATCGATCTCGCTCGATTTATTTCATGCAAACGATATCACAATCGATCTGACTATCGATCTCACAATCGATCTCAGAATCGATCTCACTATCGATCTCACAATTTATCTCAATTTCGGTCTCACTATCGATGTCACTACCGATATCACAATCGATCTCACGATCAACGTCACCATCATCATCAACAACATCATCGTCATCAACGCCATCAACATCACAGTCATCATCATCAGGGCACCATCATCATTACCTTATCACCATCATCATCAACATCATCATTATCATCATCATCATCATCGGGACACCATCATCGTCACCATCGTCATCACCAATATCACCATCATCGGGACACCATCATCATCAGCATCGGAACGCCACCATCATCATCACATCATGATCATTATGAACAACAGCATCATCATCATCTGGGCACCGTTATCATCAGAAGCATCATCGCCAGCAACATCATCATTATCATCATCATCATCATCATCGGGACACCAGTATCATCGTCACCATCATCATCGTCACCATCATCATGATCGGGACACCATCACCATCATCATCACCATCATCATCATCATCATCAACATCAGCATCGTCATCATAACCAGCATCGGGCCACCATGATCAAAATCATCTCCATTATCTCATCATCATCCTCATCATCAACATCATCATCGGGGCACCATCATCGTCGTCATCATCATCATCATCATCATCATCATCGGGACACCATCATCATCATCAGCACCGTCATGAACATCATCATCATCAACCTCATCATCATCATCGGGACACCACCATCATCATCATCATCATCTTCATCAGCATCATCATCTCATCATCATATCATCATAAACAGCATCAGGACCATCATCAACATCATCACTATAATCGAGGCACCATCATCATCAGCAGCAGCATCATCAATACCATCATCATCGGGACACCATCATCATCACCACAATGGCCATCATCATCATCACCATCATCATCATCATCATCGTCATCATCCACATCGTCAACATCAACATCATCATCGGGACACCATCATCATCACCACCATCACCATCACCATCATCGTCAACATCATCGGCATCATCATCATCATCATCATCATCATCATCATCATCATCATCACCGAGACACCGACGGGACAACGGCGAGACACCGGCAGGACACCGCGGGCCACCGGCCCCCGGAAAAGAATCATTTTGTCCGGCCGCGCCTCAGCCGGAGGCGGGACACCGGCGGGACACCGCGGGCCACCGGCCCCCGGAAAGGAATCACTTGGTCCGGCCGCGCCTCAGCCGGGGAGACATTTTTTCGCCCGCCCACGCAGCTTCGCCTCGCCCGCACGCACGGCACGCACGAACACGAAACCGAAACCGATTTGCTGGTAGGGGGGCTCTCCGTTCCACTTCGATCTCACCCCCTCACCTCCGACGTGGGGGCGGAGGCGGCGGTGCCCTGGCGTGCGCGCGCAGGTTCGAGAGTGGTGGTCCCTGGGCGTTCCAGGCATTTTGACTTACCGAGGCCACTACCGCTCGCCACCCCTCCGCGGAGGCCACCCGATCCAGGCAGCAAGCGCAGAAAGCAGAATGAGGAAGCGAGGGCGCGACGAGTGGCGGTTCTCCCAGAGGACGCGCATGGAGGAGTCCAACATAATCGAGCCACCCTCGACCAGGGTGGAAGCTGAACGCGTCACTT